GGTCCCTGTGCTTTGCTTAGCTTGTTCTAAGTAGGTGCTTTAGACCACTGAGCCATCTCACCAGCCCCGAAGGAAATTATTTCTGAAGAACCCATAATAGGTGGGAATATTTTTTTTTGGGGGGGGGAGATTATCTCTGAGGATTAGCTCTAATTATCCCTTTGTTATTGTCACATAATAAACTTTCAGAATATGGTACTAGGGAAATGAGAAAAGATTCTCTCTCCCTGAAGTTAGGATACTTCATGTGTCACCTAGTCAAAAGGCTGGAAAAATCAAAGTATCCCTGGCTTTGCTACTTGGTACTTCACAAAGCACCATTACTTGGTACTATCATGTTTCCCCTTTTATAAGTTAGAAAAAGTTTTCTTTATTTTTAATATAAATATTTTGTTAAAGTAAAAGACACAAGAGCCTTTGTTGTTGGTTGGTAGCATTTCAGTTGCATTTTCTCTTTGGAATCTTCTCCCCATGAACTGCAGCCAGTGCATTATGAAGAGAAGAACTGGTGTGAGGAGCAGTATTCTGGGGGCTGCTATACAGCCTACTTCCCACCCGGGATCATGACCCAATATGGAAGGTACTGCGCACCGATTAATGCAAGACCTGCACCACATCTAAGAGAAACAGTGCTCAGTGAGAATTCCAGAAACAGCATTCCTATTTGTAATGTTCCGGATAGCAATCCTAATTAACAAATCAGTTCCAGTGGGTTGGAGTGAAGGCCTCTGGGATGGGATTGGGATTGGGATGTGCAGTAGGAGAGTTTATAAAAGTGACTGCAGGCTTGGCAAGAGTCAGTTTTGAGAAAGTTGGAGAAGACAGTTAGCTATTTGGTCCAGCTCTTCTTTGATTCTCTTTGGTAGGACCCCTTTATAAGAAGTCTCACTTACTTGCCCTCACCCTGTCCCTCCAAAAGTTGAGAGAAACTATATGGGTGATGTTATTTAATGAGGCACACCATATAATCCTTCAGTTGTCTCTTCTGCCAGAAATGAGTCAGTCTCTGTCTTCCACTTGCCACAGTAGTACCTACTGATGTACTGGCAATGCCTGCAAGGCTGGGCTCTGTGGCTCTATGTGTGATCTCTCTCTCTCTCTCTCTCTCTCTCTCTCTCTCTCTCTCTGGCGGAATCAGGAATTGAACTCAGGCCCTTGCACTTGCCAGGGAAGCACTTATTCTACTGAGTCAACTCCCTGGCCCCATATGTGTGATCTCAAAAAGAAGGCAACCTTCAGAAAAACACTGTGGGGAATAAAATGGACTGCAAACAGGGAACACAGCCAAGAGATCCAATTGTGGATTAGATGAATGTTTTCATGTTCTGACTCTGGCTTTCTTGGAAAAGGTCAACATTTAGTGACTGATGATCTGCCAGTTTCTGTCTCCCTGGCTTTACTGTTGAGATGCTGGCGTACAGACTGGGGAAGCAAAAGATAGGCTAACCTTTTATTATCGCCTGTGTAACATGGGTATTTTGTGAATAATTTGAGTTTCTTCGTGTTATCAGAGTAAAGGCAGTAAAGCCTCATTTCCTCTCAGCACCTTGCCATGTAATCTGTGTGACCTTTTTGTTCCCTTGAAGAGTGATTCGCCAGCCAGTGGGCAGGATTTACTTTGCTGGCACAGAGACTGCCACACAATGGAGCGGTTACATGGAGGGAGCAGTTGAGGCTGGAGAACGGGCAGCTAGAGAGGTAAGCTAAGGCACGCTTACTCCTGAGTCAGGGCAGTGTTTTTAGCCTCTGGGATTTTTAGTTCTTTTTTTTTTTTTTTTGGTTCTTTTTTTAAAATGGATTCATAACATGTTTGTGAGGCTGCATGTTTGGGTTCTTTTCAATGACGCACCATAATTATACATATTTTTGGAATACAGTGTGAAATGTCCATGCATGTATATGCATACAGTGATCAGATTAGAGTAATCAACATTTGCTTCACAGCAAGCATTTATCATTTATTTAGAACATTGAAAATCCCTTTATGTAGCTATTTTGAAATATGCTATAATTATTGTTAACTATACTGTCCCTACAGTGCTATAGTACTCTAGAACTTATTCCTTCTCTCAAACTGTATTTTGGTGCGCACTATCCATCTTCTCACTATCCCTTCTCCCTCCTACTATGTTCAGGCTGTGTTCTATTCTCTACTTCAATAAGATCAGCTTTATCAACTCTTTTCATGTGAATAAGAACATTCAGCATGTATCTTTCTGTGGCTGGCTTATTTCAATTAATGTCCTTTATGTTCATCTATATTGTCACATATGATTTCATTCTTCTTTCAGGCCAGTATATTTCTTTAGCCATTAATCTATTTAGTTCTTGATACTGAAAGAATCTATATATCCATTTCTTTGCCCCTCACTCATGGGGCTCATCTATGAACATAGTACTTTAAATCTGTTAAAACTATATAACCTTATTTCATAAAACCATGGTCATTTTCTTTCAGGTTTTGAATGCTCTTGGGAAGGTGGCCAAGAAGGATATATGGGTAGAAGAACCTGAGTTTAAGGTATATCTAACTGCTCCATCTCTGTAGACTAATAACAGCACATAAAACTAGTTTATCTCCCTTCTTTTAACTTCTGATTTCATTATAGATATAATGATTGAGATGTCCATGAACATAGTACAGACTGGTTTTGTTTCTCCCTGTTGGAGTAAGTTTTCTGTTAATGAATGTGTTTGTTCATCCAGGATGTTCCATCAGTAGAGATCACCCATACCTTCTTGGAGAGGAACCTGCCTTCTGTGCCTGGCCTCCTGAAGATCATTGGGATGTCAGCTTCTCTAACCGCCTTCTGGTTTGTGTTGCACAAGTACAAGCTACTGCCACAGTCCTGAA